GATGAATAAATCATGACAAAACATTACGAAGAGATTCCGTATGAAAATTCAAGACCCTTTGGGTCTCGCCGCTTAGCGGCTGAGGGTAGAAATGAGGGTAGAAATGAGGTTAGATCTAACCATCTACCCTAAACATTATTTTTGGATCATTTACGCTCATGTTTGACAAAGCATATACGCTCATTACGATGAAGAAATCATGACAAAACATGTACGATGAAGTTTCGACAAAACATGTACGATGAAGTTTCGACAAAACATGTACGATGAAGAAATCATGACAAAACATTTACGCCTTACGATGAAGAAGTCTTGACAAAGCATATACGATGAAGTTTTGACAAATCATTTACGCTCATGTTTGACAAAACATATACGATGAAATCATGACAAAGCTATACGCTCATTACGATGAAAGAAGTCATGAAAATTTCAAGACCCTTTGGTCTCGCCGCTTAGCGGCTGAGGTAGAAATGAGGTAGAAATGAGGTTAGATCTAACCATCTACCCTAAACATTATTTTTGGTCATTTACACTCATTACGATGAAGAAATCATGACAAAACATGTACGATGAAGAAATCATGACAAAACATATACGATGAAATCATGACAAAGCATATACGCTCATTACGATGAAGAAGTCTTGACAAAACATTTACGATGAAGAAATCATGACAAAACATATACGATGAAGTTTTGACAAAACATGTACGATGAAGAAATCATGACAAAACATATACGAAGAAGTCTTGACAAAACATATACGTTTAGTTTCGATGAAATCATGACAAAACATATACGAAGAAGTCTTGACAAAACATGTACGAAGAAGTTTCGACAAAACATTTACGAAGAAGTTTCGACAAAACATATACGCTCATGTTTGACAAATCATTTACGCTCATGTTTGACAAAACATTTACACTCATTACGATGAAGAAGTCATGACAAAACATTTACACTCATTACGATGAAGAATCATGACAAAACATAAACGTTCATGTTTGACAAAACATTTACACTCATTACGATATGAAGAAGTCATGACAAAACATAAACGAAGAAATCATGACAAAACATATACGATGAAGTCATGACAAAACATTTACGTTCATGTTTGACAAAACATTTACGTTCATGTTTGACAAACATTTACACTCATTACGAATGAAAAAGTTTCGACAAATCATTTACGATGAAATCATGACAAAACAGGTACGATGAAGTTTCGACAAAACATGTACGAAGAAGTCTTGACAAAACATGTACGATGAAGAAATCATGACAAAACATTTACGCTCATGTTTGACAAAACATTTACACTCATTACGATGAAGAAGTCATGACAAAGCATAAACGAAGAAATCATGACAAACATTTACGATAAGAAGTTTCGACAAATCATTTACGTAAACATTTATTTCCTGTGTTGTTGTCAAAATGTCATGTTGTCTCATTTTTCAGAGAAGTTAAATGACCTGGTGACATGGTGACGTAGTGACACCTTCAGTTCTTCAAAAATAATTCATAAACTGCCTTCCCCTGCTGTGTTTTGTCAAAATGTCATGTTGTCTCATTTTTTCAGAGAAGTTAATTAACCGAGTGACACATGGTGACGTAGTGACACCTTCAGTTCTTCAAAAATAATTCATAACTGCCTTCCTCCTGTGTTGTTGTCAAAATGTCATGTTGTCTCATTTTTTCAGAGAAGTTAAATTACCTGGTGACCTGGTGACGTAGTGACACCTTCAGTTCTTCAAAAATAATTCATAACTGCCTTCCCCTGCTGTGTTGTTGTCAAACATGAACGTAAACATTATTTTTGGTTCATTTACACTCATTACGATGAAATCATGACAAAACATTTACGTAAACATTTATTCACTGTGTTGTTGTCAAAATGTCATGTTGTCTCATTTTTTCAGAGAAGTTAATTAACCGAGTGACACATGGTGACATAGTGACACCTTCAGTTCTTCAAAAATAATTAATTATTGAATAACCTGAAACCATTAATGAAAACATTATTTTTGGTTCATTTACACTCATTACGATGAAGTTTGACACGAAGTGAAGAATTGCACTTCGTCAAAAAAGTGAAGGTTCCCGACGGTTTCAAACCGCCATACTTTACATTTTGTACAAAAATATTGTGAGTAAATGAACTCATTATTTTTGCATCATGACAAAACATTTACGCTCATGTTTGACAAAGCATAAACGATGAAACCTTGACAAAACATATACGTTTATGTTTGACAAAGCATAAACGATGAAGTTTATTTCCCCGACTGTTGTCTAAATGTCATGTTGTCAGTAATTTTAAGAGAAGTTAATTAACCTGGTGACGTGGTGACGTAGTGACACCTTCAGTTCTTCAAAAATAATTCATAACTGCCTTCCTCCTGTGTTGTTGTCAAACATGAACGTAAACATTATTTTTGGTTCATTTACACTCATTACGATGAAATCTTGACAAAACATATACGATGAAATCATGACAAAACATGTACGATGAAATCATGACAAAACATGTACGATGAAATCATGACAAAGCATATACGATGAAGTTTGACACGAAGTGAAGATTTGCACTTCGTCAAAAAAGTGAAGGTTCGACAAAGCATATACGTTCATTACGATGAAGTTTTGACACGAAGTGAAGATTTGCACTTCGTGTCAAAAAAGTGAAGGTTCGACAAAGCATATACGTTCATTACGATGAAGTTTTGACACGAAGTGAAGATTTGCACTTCGTCAAAAAAGTGAAGGTTCGACAAAGCATATACGTTCATTACGATGAAGAAATCATGACAAAACATTTACGTAAACATTTATTTCCTGTGTTGTTGTCAAAATGTCATGAATTAAATAACCGAGTGACACATGGTGACGTAGTGACACCTTCAGTTCTTCAAAAATAATTCATAACTGCCTTCCTCCTGTGTTGTTGTCAAACATGAACGTAAACATTATTTTTGGTTCATTTACACTCATTACGATGAAATCTTGACAAAACATATACGATGAAATCATGACAAAGCATATACGTTTAGTTTCGATGAAATCATGACAAAACATGTACGATGAAATCTATGACAAAACATATACGATGAAATCTATGACAAAACATATACGCTCATGTTTGACAAAACATATACGATGAAATCTATGAACATAATAATATTTCAAACCAGGAGCCAAATTCTTGCGATTTTCATATGGAATCTCTTCTCTCGGTTTTCCGAGGTAAGCAATTATATGAAATCATTTACACTCATTACGATGAAATCTTGACAAAACATATACGATGAAATCATGACAAAACATGTACGATGAAATCATGACAAAACATGTACGATGAAATCTATGACAAAACATATACGATGAAATCTATGACAAAACATATACGTTCATGTTTGACAAAACATTTACGCTCATGTTTGACAAAACATTTATGTTCATGTTTGACAAAGCATATACGATGAAACCTTGACAAAACATATACGATGAAGAAGTCTTGACAAAACATTTACGCTCATGTTTGACAAAGCATATACGCTCATTACGATGAAGAAATCATGACAAAGCATATACGATGAAACCTTGACAAAACATATACGATGAAGAAGTCTTGACAAAACATTTACGCTCATGTTTGACAAAGCATATACGCTCATTACGATGAAGAAGTCATGACAAAACATATACGAAGAGATTCCGTATGAAAATTCAAGACCCTTTGGGTCTCGCCGCTTAGCGGCTGAGGGTAGAAATGAGGGTAGAAATGAGGTTAGATCTAACCATCTACCCTAAACATTATTTTTGGGTCATTTACGTTCATTACGATGAAGAAGTCATGACAAAACATTTACGATGAAGAAATCATGAAAATTCAATGAGGGTAGAAATGAGGGTAGAAATGAGGTTAGATCTAACCATCTACCCTAAACATTATTTTTGGGTCATTTACGTTCATTACGATGAAGAAGTCATGACAAAAACATATACGTTCATGTTTGACAAAACATATACGCTCATTACGATGAAGAAGTTTCGACAAATCATTTACGAAGAAATCATGACAAAACATATACGTTTAGTTTCGATGAAATCATGACAAAACATATACGAAGAAGTCTTGACAAAGCATATACGCTCATTACGATGAAGAAATCATGACAAAACATTTACGATGAAGAAATCATGACAAAACATATACACTCATGTTGACAAAGCATATACGTTCATTACGATGAAGAAGACTTGACAAAACATGTACGATGAAGTTTTGACAAAACATTTACGTTCATGTTTGACAAAACATTTACGATGAAATCATGACAAAGCATAAACGCTCATGTTTGACAAAACATTTACACTCATTACGATGAAGAAATCATGACAAAACATTTACGTTCATGTTTGACAAATCATTTACGAAGAAATCATGAAAATTCAAGACCCTTTGGGTCTCGCCGCTTAGCGGCTGAGGGTAGAAATGAGGGTAGAAATGAGGGTAGATCTACCCTTCTACCCTAAACTTATTTTTGCGCTATGTTTTCATACGTGTGAGGGTGGTGATATCATTATTTTTTAAGTTTATTTTTATATAAATGACGAAAACTATTGAGATAACAAACTACAACGGTCATGAGTTCAAGAATTTGTTCTTCGTTCCTCGTGAAAATACATTCTATCAGATACGAGGGAGAAAGGGTAAAGTTAGTTTGAGCGTTTATGAAGGAATGAAGAATGGAAAGTTTATACAAGCATACGATACAAACGGTAAGCGTGTTTCATTACATTTGTCAAAACTTACTAACATTTATTTTGACAGTGACTTTGACCTATATGAAGAAGAAAGTGAGTCAGAAGATTATGAGCTGTTATGTGAAGCACAGCAATGGGAGGAGTTGCAATACTTTTGTAAGTGAGAACGTTTATTTTTTACATTAGTGAAGTCATTAGTGGTTGGCGGTTTGTAAATATTTAAGGTTAAGTTAGTGTTGTCGTTTGTGTTGTAAAATATACGTTACTGGTTTTGTAAATATTTAAGGTTAAGTGGTGTACGGAGGCGCGCAGTGCCTCAGTACACGACTTAGTCATACTAACTATTCTTGGGAACGGGAAAGGCTTATTTACTTGAGGAACAGGTAAAGGTGGTGGAGGTGGTGGCAACCAGTCCATTTTATATTCCTTCCTAGCTAATTTCCGTTTAATTTCATGGTCGCCCTCGGAGTCTTTGAATCGGACATGTCAAGTTACACCATTCTTGGTCTCAAACTCATATATAACCTGTTTGTCTGTATTTTCGTCGACTATGGCACAAGACACGAACATTGACCAAACGGACAAAAAGTGTCATTTCGGATGGTCAAGCAGCCAATCGCATTCGAGCACTTCGAAGAAGCCTTACGTTCCAAGGGAGAGGGTGTCTGGTGCAAGGCAGAGGTCATGAAACTCTACGAGCAGTACATCCTCAATGCCTGGGAGGACAAATCGTCCTTGAATTGGCAATTCTACCAACTCCTCTGGGACGACCTCCTACGCAACTGGGATAACGAAAGAGCCCAATTCAAAGGTCGGGAGCTAATTTTCCAAATTACCATTAATTTAACCTACTTATCCAAATAAACACCTAAATTTACTTGGGGTTTCCCCCTAAAATAAAATTTTTTACTCTTAGAACCACTCGAGGTTCTCTTTACGGTTGTTGAGCTTGTCACCGTCAATGTGTCTGACCTTCGTCTTCTTGTCTGGATTTGGAACCCATTGAATTGCGACAAGCTTGCCCATGGAAATTGAACCGCGATTCCGAAGGTTAACCGTCAAGTTGTTGAGAACTGGGGTAAGAACCTTGCCGGTCTCCCTGTTGCGGATTTTGTATGGGTAGGGTTGGGAAATTTCGTAAGCGTCATCGGCAACAAGGGTTGCCCAAACTTCCTCTTCTTCGTATTTCTCTTCTTCCTCTTCCTCTTCTTCGTGTTTCTCTTCTTCCTCGACAATTCCTTCTTCAATTTGGTACTCACGAAGTACGGTGTTGCATGTTCTGTCCTTTCCGAGTACCTTCCAGATGGCGTCAATCTCTTCGAAGAAACGGTAGATGAGTCTGGCAAGGTCTCGGTTCTCTCTCTCGTAATTGCGCAAGGTTTCCGCGAAATCGTTCAGGACTTTTTCATTGGAAGCTTGGTTCATGAGGAACTCACCTTTAAGTCCCTTCATCTCTGTCATAAGACTACTTTGGAGAGTCTTAATGGTGTTTGTCAGATGAGCTTTCAATTGGGCAATTTGAATTTGAATTGGGCGCTTGTCTGGCAACCTTGAAAGGACATCTTCCATTGAGTTTGGCTTCGGTGCTTGTTCGGACATCGAAAAAATGAAGTGGTTTGAGAATGACGGTTTTACTTCAAAAAGCTTGTTATGACGGTTAAGTCATACAACAAGTTTAAAATAATATCTTGTTCTTCTTCTGAACGTTTGTTGTCTCTTCCGATAAAAGTTTCGAACATGAGAACCAAAAAACGTTTTTTTGAGATTGCGGAAGAGTTCAGGCAAACGTTCATATTCTGGATATGTTGGGAGCAGTTCAAAACATCTGAGCTGACTTTCGGACAAAATTGGGACAATGTCAGAAAATTCATCTTTGGTCGGACTGCTTGAAGGTAAGTCCCTTACATGTAAGTAGCTCTGGTAAAGTCTTCTCATTTCTGCTAACTTTTGGAGTATAGCTTCGTAGTTTAGAAGTTTCAATTTTAATTGTCTTATTCCACTCTTTACTTCTAAACGGTAACTATCCATGAGGTCAAGAGTAGCTTTGGTAGCTTTAAGTGGAGCTATCTGTTCCTTGACTTCTGCAATTTTGGTTGCAATTGTGGTTTGAGCTCCTTCAAGTTCGCCGTCTATGTCGTTCTCAACGCCTTCAACCATGGCTTGAAACTCTTCATCGGTCCATTGAGATTGGTGTGGGACGAATTTAACTTGCTTCATTCAAAAAATGAAAAAAATGTTTTTACTCTAAACGTGCCATGTATATGTTTACTGAACTGGCTGAATGTCGCCTTCACAGGTTATGTAGAATGGCTGTCCTGAGAAGTGTAAGAGAGACTGAATTGCCAATTTCATATGGGGTAGGGGGTTCTCCTTGTTTGGTATTTTTATCCAAGGACGTTTGTTTAGGAACTTAACAAGAGCTTCTCTTTTGGCGTCCTTTATGTCGTCGTAGGCTGTCCCGTCTGGTATTTGAATTGGAATTCCGGTCGAAGTCTCGAGATTCAATGCAGCCCTTCCAGAAATACTGGTGAACTTGACCTTGGGCTTCATTACCTTGCGCAAGTAGTCTTTTACGCAGTCGTTAAGTTCAATGAGGTAAATTGCCTCGTCAAATCCTTCTGGCATTCCGAGTCCTTCCATCCGACAGGAAAATATTTTCCCGACAACTGGAAAAAATTTTCCGGACAAAGGGAAAAATTTTTCCCGACGACAGGAAGAGTTCTTCCAGTTGTCCGTCCGTAAACCATTCAAATTTTCGAAAATTGAGAACTTTTTGGTCGAACTTCAGAAAAATTTTCCTTCCGACAGAAAAAGTTTTTCCCGACGACAGGAAAAGTTTTTCCCGACAACTGGAAAAAATTTTCCTTCCGACAGGACACAAACAGATGACTGACGTTCCTCTTCCTGAATGCCTTCCAAAGCCAGAAGAACCGAAAGCTGCAGAACCACAACAGTCTCCTCAGCAACCTCAGTTCCAACAAGTACCTCCGAATTACTACCAATTTCCACCTCAAGGTTACTACCCACCACAAGGCTTCCCGAACTACCCTCCTCAACCTATGCCTTACTTTCCTAATCCTTGGTTGTTCCAGCAAGCTCCACCCCAGCAATTCCAATCTCAATCCCAATCGAAGAGAGACCAAGAGTTCGAAGAAGGTCTGAACCGTTTACGCAAAGATTATGCCACAGCCCCTATGGAAGATGACAGGCTTTCAGTCTCTTCCATAAGGTCGACCAATTCGACTCGTACCACAGATTCGGTTCGTGACCGTGAAGACTACCTCAAGCAGTCTGAGAGACTTTTCATCCTACAACCATTTACAGTTGGAGCACTCAAGAACATGCGCAATTACGAGAAAAAACCAGAATTTTCGAAAAAGTGACACCAACTATTAAAGTTATTTTATTACTAGATTTATTTACAAATTATAAGATAATATCATTAACCGAATATATTTTTAATATAAATAAAAAACTTTTTTATACAAAAAATTACAATCAATCGATAAATATTATAAAACATTTATTCCAAAAAGATCAAGTAATAGGTGGGATCCTGCATATAATATAATTTTATGTCATAAAGCTTACAAATTTTAGATGGACCACAGTGAGAATGTGAGTGGTTAATTTAAAGGTGGTCTGATAAAGATATCGAAGCTTACTCAACACAGCATGAAGCAGTTTCTAATACACAATCTTACTAGTGGTGTTTCGGTCGCCAGCGCTCTCATAGGGGTGCTGATTTCAAAAACCACTACTTCAAATTATTCAACAATACTCAATGCAGCATGAAGCAGCTACTACTGCTGTATCTTACTGGTAGTGTTTTGGTCGTTGGCTCTTGCACAGTCTCTCAGATTTTCAAAATTTTTTTTCAACACTATCTTGTTTCGCTCTCAGAAAGCTATCCTACAAAGACATCGAAGCTTACTCAACACAGCATGAAGCAGTTTCTAATACACAATCTTACTAGTGGTGTTTCGGTCGCCAGCGCTCTCATAGGGGTGCTGATTTCAAAAACCACTACTTCAAATTATTCAACAATACTCAATGCAGCATGAAGCAGTTTCCAATTCAACAATACTCAACACAGCATGAAGCAGTTTCTAATAAATATATACATATATAAATATATACATATATAAATATATACATATATAAATATATACATATATAAATATATACATATATAAATATATACATATATAAATATATACATATATAAATATATACATATATAAATATATACATATATAAATATATACATATATAAATATATACATATATAAATATATACATATATAAATATATACATATATAAATATATACATATATAAATATATACATATATAAATATATACATATATAAATATATACATATATAAATATATACATATATAAATATATACATATATAAATATATACATATATTGTAATAAACAGAAATTCATCAAAAGTGACATCTCTCAATTTTTTGACATTTGTAAATTCTAAATTGAATGAGAAAAATGAAATAATACTAAGCATAATACAATATTCTAGATTTAATTATAATTAGGAAAAAGTTAGTTTTGAGAATACTTTTCATAGGCATATAGAATGAAATCTTCTGAAAAATAATATCACATAAACTCATATTTTTTCTAATATATAACTATTTTATATAAAAATCAAATTCAATGATCTTAAAAGCGAAGGATAAACCTCAAAATTTACGAATATAATGAGTGGGAATATAATGCTTATCTATCATAAAACCATATGAAATATCAATTTTTGCTTTACGCCTAATTTTTGACGACAATTAGCAAAAAATGTTAAATGTTAACACTCAGTCCATTTGAATATGAAAAATAAAATTGACTTTGATTAAATGTTTTATTTATCATGCAATTCTTCTTGCGACCAAAGATTTGAATAAAAGTTCAAAAAATAAGATAGCTTAAAAAATAATATACGGTAGTGTTTACTAATAGATGAATAGTATATAAATTCTATTAAAATGGATTTGATCCAAAAAAATATATAAAATTTGATCATAAATAAAATCGTTTTAAATTACTTCTTCATTTAAATTATAACAATTATTTTTGGTTTTATATTTTTTTGGATCAAATCCATTTTAATAGAATTTATATACTATTCATCTATTAGTAAACACTACCGTATATTATTTTTTAAGCTATCTTATTTTTTGAACTTTTATTCAAATCTTTTGGTCGCAAGAAGAATTGCATGATAAATAAAAACATTTAATCAAAGTCAATTTTATTTTTCATATTCAAATGGACTGAGTGTTAACATTTAACATTTTTTGCTAATTGTCGTCAAAAATTAGGCGTAAAGCAAAAATTGATATTTCATATGGTTTTATGATAGATAAGCATTATATTCCCACTCATTATATTCGTAAATTTTGAGGTTTATCCTTCGCTTTTAAGATCATTGAATTTGATTTTTATATAAAATAGTTATATATTAGAAAATAATATGAGTTTATGTGATATTATTTTTCAGAAGATTTTGTGTTCTTCTTCAAAATTTTATTTTTTTATTAAAAAGAATCTTTACCAAATATACATTTACTTTAATTAATATTTAAAAACGTGCTCTATCAAAAGTTCCAAAAATTCAATATTTTAGCTTTTCTGAGGTGTCACTTTTGATGAATTTCTGTTTACAACAATATAAATATATACATATATAAATAACAAAATACAATCAAAAAATAGTGTTTGGAAATTTAAGGTTAAGTGTCACTTTTTCGTAAATTCTACCACACTCAGACTACCTCAAGCAGTCTGAGAGACTTTTCATCCTACAACCATTTACAGTTGGAGCACTCAAGAACATGCGCAATTACGAAGGTCAAACACCAGCTGGAGACCGCAAAACAGACGTGCTTACAAGAGCAGTCCAACTGGTCAAGACAAAGACTGAGATAGTCGACTTCATTCTTGCAGCTTGCCCATACAAGTAAAAAAATAAACAATTACGAGTTAAACTTTTTATTCTTTCTTTTCTGAGTTGTTTAGAGCTGGTTTCTCTTGTAGAAACCTTTCGTACTCTTCCATGGTCATGTAATTGCGAATTTGGTACGCAATTCCAGGTTCGTTGTTTTTGAACCTTATGTATGTAACGCTTCCATCCTCCTCAGGGAAGTAAGCTGCCAACATCTGACCAAGTTTTCTCGGTGACTCGGAGCTCATTAAAAATGTCACTTTTTAAACGTTAAGTTTTTAGCCTTATTTTACCCTTTGTTTGTCAAGGTAGTATTGGAGTGCAATTTCTCCAAATTCTCTGTGTCGGAGTTCTTCAGCATTTTCCAACGTGTACCTGGAGAACTCAAAGAAGTTGTCAAGAACATACCGCCATGCTGCTCTTCTGAGTTCGTCGGTATTTTGGAAGTGTTGCACCTTCGAGTCTTCGGACATGAAAAAATGACACTTTTCTATTAAACCGTTTTGGCATTTCTCATGAGTGAGTATAGTTCTGCCGAACCATTGGAAGAGAAGAAGTACCCTTGCTGGCAAAAGACAAAAATAGTTGCCTTAGTTGTCATTGCATTTGTACTCGTAATTGAATTCATTGTACTTCTCTTCACGTACATAAAACTCAGCAATGGTATTTGCTTTAAGAATTTACCATCTTACTAAGACTAAACACTTACATTTTTCAAGCTTGACTTTTTACAATTTGAACTTTGTTCGCGTAGATATGAATTCTGAAAGAAGTATGAGGGTCTTGTATGACTTTGTACTTCTCCCATAATTCATGTCTGTCAAACTTACCTGCCATGGACTCTTTCATAAGTTCCATGAAATCGTCTTCGGACAATCCGGGGAAAAGTATTATGTCAGTAAGTATTCTTTTAACATCCTTACTTAAACTCTTGGCTGTCTGTACACAAATGACAACTGAAATGTTAAAGTGTCTGAGCTTCTTGAGAATTCGACACATGTCTTGTTCTCTATTCTTTAACAAAGGATGAGAGGCGAAATCATCTAAGATAAGAAGACATCTGTGAGGGTACGTTTTCCAATCGTAAGATTGCAATTTCTTCGAAATGTATTCTATCTCTTTCTGTTTGTTTCTGAAGTGTTTCTTCTCTAATATTCTCTGCATTTCCTCATTGGGTCTTTAAAACTTAGAATTTATATACTCATTTATAGGCATTATATTTCAAAACACTCTTCTTTGGTACTTCTTTATCCAATCTAACAACAACTCAGTATCCTTTATACATACTAATTAGACTTCTTTATAATATCTTTGAACGAATTGACGGTTTGTCAAATTGACCCGAAGTACTACAAATAACAACCAACTCATAAAATGTGTTCTTCTCATCTAGTTCTTGTTGTTGTGCAGCCATTTTAAGATAAGTAAGTCTTACCGACCCAGGTGTGCAATTAGACCTGTTATACCATTCTGAGCAAATAAGAACTTGTCATGTATGGGTTTTATCTGAGCATTTTCCAACTTCCTCTTGTTCTTGTTTAAAACATTCTCAAATTTTTTGTCAATGTCAGCAAACTTTTTTTCTAACATATTTTTAGAAAAATTAAAATTTTTATCTTTTAAAAAATGTCTAGCGATTTCGCTATCTATGTCCGTGACAAACTTTTTGACAGCAAAACATCTGTCGACCATAAAATCTTACATAGTGTAAACAAGAAAGGTGAATTTGTTCTAAAGTTCTGTTTCTGGGAATATGACAAGAACCATAAAACATTAAGCAGAGCAGTTTTAAAATTCGTCAATGACAGACTTGTTGACAGAGATGACGCCGATTGGAAAGATGAAGTCCAACAAAAGTTCTTAGAATGCAAAGAAGACACATGCGCTGTTCTTGAAGATGAAATAGAAAACAGAATAGAAGAGCTATTAAAGGACAAAGAACTTTTACATAAATATGGTTCGGAGAAATTTGACATAACTCCACCAGAAAAGAAGAAGAGAGAAAAGAAAGTAGAAGAAGAGAAGAAAGAACCAGAGCCAGTTCCACCGAAGAAGAAATTTGACATGTAAAAATAAAATTTTATTTTTAGAACATTTCAGGGTCAATGTCAATGTTCTCTTCCTCTTTAGGAGTAAACACCGGCTTAGACTCTAAAATCTTTTTACCCCTTTACTTTACACAACTTTAGACTCATAATATTCATAGTCGTCTGTCTTCTTTGGTTCATAAGGTATAACAAGTTTGTATGCTTTGCCTTCTTTAAGGTTTGACAACCTTCTGTCCTACTTCTTTGACTGTTAACAAACCTTCTATGTCTAAGTCTTCAAATTTCGCACCATTTTTAGTCACAATAGCAAACTTAACTGGTTCGATGTTCCAAACTTTGCTGAATGAAGACTTTTCAAAATGGTAGAAGTAAACATTCAAATATGTGAATGGGTCTAGTTCTTCTTTTAAGTCCTGACATGTACTTGTTTACTGAAATATATTTTGCCATCTTTTTTCTATCGGATAAAAAATATTTTTTTAAAATTTACTCAGAAAAATTTTTCTTTGTATATACACCATTCTGTACGTCTAAAAGAGTTTTGACATTGCCAAGGTTCGTTTAGACGCTGGCATTAACCATACTCTTGACAATTTGTTTATATTCATCATATAAAGACCTTTCATCTAATGACACAAAGTCAGTTTCATATATGAACAGTTCATAAACACTCTTGTTTGCTTCTAACAATGTTTGTCTCTCTTCGGTATGTGGAATTTGTCTTGAGTTGAACTTTGAAATATCTAATGTCATGAAATATGAGAACAAGTGGTTGTAAAAGTCAGATGTCAAACATTCTGACAAAGCGTCAAAATATTCAGTATCTTGCATATGAGAATCTGACGTTCTGACAACTACATATCTTCTGTCGGAACTTTCTAACTTCATCGGAACAGCATTGTTTGAAACCATAATGAAGTTTGCAACATTCTCACAAACTCTTTGGTCTTTATACTTTCTTTCAACAACTCCAACTTTGTCTGTTATAAGACTCTTCAAAGCATCTGAGTTTAAAACTTTTGTTGTATCTATACTTTGAAGTTCATTGCAAACTATAAGTTTCATATTCTCAATTGAAGAGTTAAATTTACCACAGATGTTTTCTAAGTTTGTCATATTAGGGTTCGAATAACCTTCTAACAGTTTGCATAAGATATCTGTAAAGAATGTGTTCTTACCTGTTCCTTGTTTTCCAATTATAATGAGAGCAGTTTCATTCTTAGCACTTGGATGTTGTAAGATGTTTGCAAACCAACATAAGATATACTCATAAACCTTTTCGTTTCCATTGCATATAATTTCTTTGACATGGTCTAACCAAGCTTCTATAATATTTTCTTTCCATTCTACTTGTTCATATTTATATCCAGCGAAGATAGAATAGAAGTTTGGAGAAGGTGTATAAAACTTTATACCTCGAACTGAAAAATCTTCTAACTTTGACAATAAGATATCCCAAGCATCTAACATCTTCATGCCAACTTGTACGACTTTTATTTTCTTAAGTTTCTGTCTACATTCTTGTTCTGAAACTATTGTCGCTTTAGGTTTGTTAAAGACTACATCCCATTCTTTCATAACATAACATTCTGGGGCAGAGTCGACATAAATGACTAAACGTTTCAAATTCTCGACTGCTTTGTTATAGTCTCGAAATGGACACATATTTCTGAATGCTTGGAAGTCATAAAAATCTGAAACATCTATTCTGTACATTTTTATAAAAATAAAAAAAATATTATTTTTTTATTCTTGACTTTGTTGTTCCATTTGTTGCATTTGTTGTTCTTGAGATATTTGTTGTTGAAGTTGTTCTTGTAATACAATACTTTCACCGGTTGCATCTTCCAATTCGAAACTTTCTGCCGTCATTGACAAATACATAGGACATAAAAGTTTTACAGGAACAAAGTTTGCGTCAACTAATGTCAACGTTATACTTGCCAAAGTGTTTGAGTTCACTAAGGTTGAAAATTCTGCATTCGAATGAACAATAGGCAAACCAGCAGAGAAAGTATTGTTTATACGCATAAGTATCTTTTGGTCATAATAGTTTCTGTCGGCATTCGAATAACACTTTGAACCTAAGTTTGAAACAATATATAAGATTGGTGTGCTTAATGTCAATGGAATAGACATTCCTTGTATGACACCTTTTCCTGTTATAGGAAACTGTTGGTAGTAAAAACCAGAAATAAGTTTTGTATTATAGCTCATATCGTTTATAGTAAACTCAGTCGGACATCCAAACATAATGAAACCTGCTCTAGTTGCAGCACATGTTACACCCGTCCTTAAAGTATTAAATAAGTCAACAAAACCTGTTGGTGGTATATCTGAATAAGTATCTTCAAAGGAGTATTTTTTACCATTCACAACAATAAAGTCTTCTGGTGTCAAAAGAGCAAAACAGGCTTTAGTCGTCATGTGTTTAAGGTTAGTTTACAATATCGTCCTTGAGGACTTGTAAGTTTGTTTATAGAATTATATGACTCAGGGTTTTTAGTCGTAATAGTATAAACCATTATGTCTTCTGCCATTTACTTAGCAAATAAATTTAATGAAATGTGGTCGTCTCAAATATTTTTATAAACGTCTGGGAAACATATTTTTAAGTTCAACGTTTCACCTCCTTTCATAACGTATATCTTGTCAATGACATTATATGAAACACCACAGCAACTAATGTCGGTTCTATTTCTTTGATGTTTATATCGTCTGCCTCTGTCAAAAGTTTCAATAGTTCTTTCAAAAACTCCATGAGGTGCAATGACATATGAGTTCACTTTTACAGGGTTGTGTTCGACCAAGTTTAACATTATACTTAAAGCTTGACAAATCTTCTCCTGAGTTTGAAGTTGTCTTTCAGTTGTTGGTAGTCGTTTCGAATATCTGCAACAGAACTTAAGTCTCTGTTAACTTCAGGATATGTTGGTTGTTCTTTTACAGGAACAATTGTTATACCATCTTCGTCTTCGTATGGTTTCCCCACTTCAACATCTCTGTCTTTGACATTGACAATAACACTTTGACTGTTGGTTTGAGTTGGTGAATTTAACTTCACATCTGCCACCGCCATTAAACCTTTTGAAACACTTACGCTTCTATTTTTCGGAAATGACATTTTACTTAGAATAAAAAGATGGACGTATTCGGATATCTCTTTGAATTGAAGCAAAACAAAGTTTACACACACAAACAATACAAATACATTGACAGAATAGTTCTTTATACAAACAATGGTAAATGTTATAGAATAGCAATATTTGCTGAACCTAAATATTTTCATAAAGCAAAGAAAGTTGGTATAACTGAAATGGTGAAAGTTCTTGACGTTGACAAAAATATAACAACAAAACTGACCGATATTTCTAAAGGTAAGTTTATAATACAATATTATGTCAAAACAGGTGTCATAACTATTTACGATGGTGAGAAAAGTGTCAAAGAACAACTTACTGACCTGCTGCCAAAATCTGCTCGATGGAAGCAGTCGTTATGCCAATCTGAGGAGCCCAGCAGGTTTCATCGAACGAATCTTCAAAAGAGCATCTTCCGTGAAAAGTGCTATTGGTTTTGTAAACTTCTTTGCTCTCAATTCATCTGGACCGTCTCTGTCACCAGTATATTGTATTTGAACTGTACCAACAGTTGAAATACCACCCATAAAGTCTTCTGAGTCAGCAAATGGAATGCCAAGCCAAAAGTTTGAACGGTCTCCATTTGTATATTGAGTTTTTTGACCTCCTGTATGAGTCCATAGTTTTACATATGGCATAATAGAACTTTGCATCTCAGGGTTAATGGTTGTTGTGAAGTTGTTGTTAAAGTTCATAGCATCTAATGTCAAGTTGTATGACCTCATATCTTCAACTGTGGAATATTCTTCTCTTGGATAATATTTGCCATCTATGTTTATATGATATTTAATACCAGGGTTGTAGAAACAAGAATAGTCATTTATAGTTCGTCTGAACAGCACAAACATAGTATCTGCATGTTTCATTGCAGTTGTTAAAGCAATATCTGTTCTTGCACCTGCGGCTCCTGGATTTTGGTTTCCAACTTCACCTGCAAAGTCTTTGACAGATATTTGGTGTATAGGGAACATAAGTG